GAAGAGATCAGAAGAGATGGCTGGAGAAAGGAAGAGATCAGATGAGATGGCTGGAGAAAGGAAGAGATCAGAGGAGATGCTGCAAGAATAGCATCTTAAACATAACTGAGAAACAGAGATTAAAGGGTTCGGCCACCGATGCGAGAGCCCAAACAGGAAAATGGACACTCTTGGAGGCGGAGGCAGACGTGGAAGAAGATGGTTAGATTGGGTCACAGACAATCTCAGACTTTACAGCACCACAGTATACCAAACAGCCGAGCACGTCCTAGCTCGGCTACAAATTACCTGTTGAACTGCAACACCGAGCGGTAAAGCGCAGATATTGACAAAATAAAATCTTAAATGTTTTAGTAGGGACCATGTAATTTGCCATTAGGAAAATGTGTGGCCACAAATATATCTTGTCTACATGTTTTGAATGCAATTCAAATTTGTTAGATCTGAGACACATTTGTAGACAAGTGAGTTTCAATATCTGGGAAAAACATCCAACGAAGATGAGAAATTAGATAAAGAAATTAACATCTGATAGAGTCAAACAAACCAAGAACTGGGACAGATAGCTGTTACAACATAAGACAGGCCCAGTCAACACAAAAAACATCTCATACTAAGCCTATTTATACCCACTATATGCTACCGGTGCCAGACAGGGTAACTGACACAACAAAGCGCGAAAGAAAAGTAGTAACCATAGAGATGAGCTGTTTGAGAAAGTCTACAAGCGTAACCTGGAGAGATCCAATCAGGTATGAGGTCAAAAGAGAATATGTCGGCATAAAACCAGTTCTGAATTACATGCTAAGACAACAGATTAAATTGTTCTGCAGAGAATGACGTGTGACGTCATACCATAAAAGACACACACGAAAAGAGGAGCTATTCATAAAGCACGAAGAAGATCAAGAACAAGATGGAACGATGACATCAGAGAAACTCTACAAGAGCACCATGTGGCTATGGTCGATTCAACAAGACGAGCACGAAGCTGAACCGTAAGACTCTATCGACGCTTAAAACGGTAAAAGAAGTGAAGAAGAAGACGGGTAGTCGAAGAGATGACCTGGACACTAAAACAGCAAGTGTATTTTAGCAGTATAAGGCTGGTCCGGCATCGAGCAGGGGCAGTCGGGTCTAGGAGACACCGGGACTGAAATGACGTGCATGCCTAAGAGGGAAATTGCTGTTTGTTTGATCTCAGACGTTTTATTAAATTTGGCCAGTAGCCATGTACTTACTGAACGTTAGGGATTTTAACTTTATTAGTTCATTTTGTTCTCTACCTCCCCAACTACACACACATACATACACACATACACACACACACAGTATTTCTCTCACGTGAAGGTCCGACTTGCCAGGCCATCTGCAGGCTACGGTGTGTCAAAGAGAGGTCAGGAGGCCAGGGGTAACCTCGTTTCTAGAGATGACAGTGGTTCCATTCCTCCAGCAGCTATCCTCTCGGAACCTGACAGGTTAGTCGGTGTGGGCTCAAACCTCAAGTTTCTGTGACCTCTAGACAGATAAGCTGGCTGTGTGTGTGTGAGCGACGTGTGCCAGTTTACAGAAGCAGATGTGTAGACGTCAGTGAAGCAGAACACAACTAATGGAAAATATATTACTAGTAACGAACTCGGACCCATCTACACACTAGCTGACCTTTCATTGATGCTAGCTGAGTCTGGTCAACGTTGCTCAAGGTTAGATGGATGTCCTAGTGTACCGCTGTATTCACAAAGCTTTTTGCGTTGAGTGTGATTCGTTCTTCTGTGAACAGCGGCCGCTAACATTGCCTTCTCACTCGTGAGCAGAATTAGTGTTTGTTGGTGAGTTTATGACAGCCGTCTAAAATTTTCAGTAGCAAATGCGATTATTCCAGCTGTCAGAGAGGGTAGGGCTGTGTGTCTGCATAAAAAAAATTCTGTAACATAGAGCACACGTTGTCGTCGATAATAGGGTCGGCGCAATACAACGTCGCAGCAAGCTTACCCCCCGCCCCCTCCCCACTCAAACTTGCCCGTTTTAAATGTAAAGACGCATGAATGAACGTCCAATCAGAATGTCCTGATTGGACTTGGACAATTATAATTGTGTAGCTGGGCCCGAGTTTGTTATATGTTCCAATATCGTCCTTCCTATGTGTTTGTGTGTGTATGTTTGTGTGTGTGTGTGTGTGTGAAGGAAACAAAGTTTGAATGTAAAGGAAACATATATTGTCTACATGTAACAAAGAATGTCTGCATGAACTATAGACTTTCACATGGAACATAAATTGTTTGTTGTTTGGTAAACGAGCTATTCTAATAAATATACAAGCGGCGGGACGGTTACACAAAACTGCACGACTGTGCTTTCTGTAAAATGTTTATAGCGTTTCCCTTCACCTGTCGTATATCAGTGTGGAACTGCTGACACCCAGGCTTGTCCAAGTGTCGTACGTCACTTGAGATGAATCCATCGACGGAAACAAAGTATAACTGGTCAGCGTGACAAGAAAATAATCACAAATAATAATAATAATATGGACGTTTAGGTTAGAAGGCCCTCTAAATGTGCAAAAGCTTAGAGAGACTAATACAAGTAGGTAACAGGTGCACAGAATATCATTCGTGTGTTTTTTTTTCCCTGGGCTCAATCGATGCCAGGAGTCCTTGGAAAACCGTAATGTACAAAACCTCAGTGACAGGGGAACTCAACAGATGGCTCGGCAAATAAATATCTTTACACTGAAATAAATACACACATAATGAATTGCGACATTTGACGCTTAAGAAGTGTCTCCTTTAACCCTGGTGACCACAGTTTCTCTTCGTGTGTCACATCATGTTGTATATTTTTTGCATGGATGTTCTCAATCTCCCTTCCCTGAGTGTAAAAGCTTTCCTCTGCACGGACGTTCACAACTCTGGACTGCAGCTGTGATTTAGCGGTTCTAGCTTTCCAGTCGACGTCAGTGCGCATGTCTCTCTCTCAGCACAAATGTGACTTCATCGTTATACTGTTGATTTCTCCAGCAGAGATGCTCCGATAAGTGCAGACACTGAAGCCATCAACAACCGAAGAAAGTCCAGGTACAAGAAGGGGAAACCCAGAGACTCCAGGATTGTAGACATAGACGATACAGACGACTGTCACCACCACATCGTTGGACCAGGTGATATGTAAAACAAATCCGTGTATGCACTCTCTTTATCTGGAAACTAACAAAACCTGGGATTAGCTGTCTGTCTCTGTCTTGAGTCACTTCCGTCTGGGTTAAATCTGATGTTTTTCTCTATTGAGAACCTACACAAAGCGTGGACAAAACATGGAATGTTCTCTCACATCCTACAGTAACCCAGAAATTGAATGTCTCCTGTGGACCTTTTAATTATTGTTTGTGATAAACTGTGGAGAATATATAGAATTAGTCGGCACGACCTGAAGTTCAAACAGGTAATAAACAATAGAGATTTAGTGACCTTAAGGAGAATTATCAGACACGAGCCAGGTGGGGTGGTTAGGGTGGGGAGAGGGATTGGGAGGGGGGGGGGGGTGGTTAGAGTGGGGAGAGGGGGAGGGGTCTTGGAAAGCTTCAGCAGCGCTGTCATAAATAATAGAAATGAAAACCTCATTAAAACATGACGTCAAAGAGCAACAGAGGCTCGCTCGTGAGGAACAAAATCTGTCGAAGGTTAGACAACTCAAGGAGACATGATTAAACAGTAAGAAAGTGAGACTACTCAAGGAGACATGATTAAACAGTAAGAAAATGAGACTACTCAAGGAGACATGTTTAAATAGGAAGAAAGTATGACTACTCAAGGAGACATGATTAAACAGTAAGAAAGTGAGACTACTCAAGGAGACACGATTAAACAGTAAAAAAGTGAGAGTACTCAAGGAGACATGATTAAACAGTAAGAAAATGAGACTACTCAAGGAGACATGTTTAAATAGGAAGAAAGTATGACTACTCAAGGAGACATGATTAAACAGTAATAAAGTAAGACTACTCAAGGAGACACGATTAAACAGTAAAAAAGTGAGAGTACTCAAGGAGACATGATTAAATAGGAAGAAAGTGAGACTACTCAAGAAGACATGATTAAACAGGAAGAAAGTGAGACTACTCAAGGAGACATGTTTAAATAGGAAGAAAGTATGACTACTCAAGGAGACATGATTAAACAGTAAGAAAGTGAGACTACTCAAGGAGACACGATTAAACAGTAAAAAAGTGAGAGTACTCAAGGAGACATGATTAAATAGGAAGAAAGTGAGACTACTCAAGAAGACATGATTAAACAGGAAGAAAGTGAGACTACTCAAGGAGACATAATTAAACAGGAAGAAAGTGAGACTACTCAAGGAGACATAATTAAACAGGAAGAAAGTGAGACAACTCAAGGAGACATAATTAAACAGGAAGAAAGAGAGACAACTCAAGGAGACATAATTAAACAGTAAGAAAGTGAGACTACTCAAGGAGACACGATTAAATAGGAAAAAAGTGAGACTACTCAAGGAGACACGATTAAATAGGAAGAAAGTGAGACTACTCAAGGAGACACGATTAAATAGGAAGAAAGTGAGACTACTCAAGGAGACATAATTAAACAGTAAGAAAGTGAGACTACTCAAGGAGACACGATTAAACAGGAAGAAAGTGAGAATACTAAAGGAGACATGATGACACAGGAAGAAATGATTAAATAGGAAGAAGATGAGACTACTCAAGGAGACATGATATAACAGGAAGAAATGATTAAATAGGAAGAAGGTGAGACTACTCAAGGAGACATAATTAAACAGGAAGAAAGTGAGACTACTCAAGGAGACATAATTAAACAGGAAGAAAGTAAGACTACTCAAGGAGACATGATTAAACAGGAAGAAAGTGAGTCTACTCAAGGAGACACAATTAAACAGGAAGAAAGTGAGACAACTCAAGGAGACATAATTAAACAGGAAGAAAGTGATACTACTCAAGGAGACGTGATTAAATAGGAAGAAAG